CTGGACATTGGTTAATATCCTGCTAGTTCACACTGGGCCTTGCTACAACAACCTGCAGCCTGATTTATGGCACCAGAGCTTGTCATCTGCTGAATGGGGCTGAGGGATTACCTGGAAACCAGAAAAAATATCTGTGCAAACAAAAACAGCCACCAAAATAACCCAAAGAACGGTGGAGTGAAATTCTTGTTTCCAAATTAAATCTTCTTGTTGTTCAATGGCCCATAAGAGTTACAGGTCGAGTGAAATTCTTGTTTCCAAACTAAATCTTCTCATTTATTAATGGCCCGTAAGAGTTGCAGGCAGGCAGGATGGATAAAGTTAAGTGTAAGGGCAAAGCATGAGCAAGGGTAAAGCTGCAGCAAGTTCAGAATAAAACACAAACAGAAACACCTCAAAAGACGAAGGTGACCAGATTTTTACGTTTATATTTTTTTTTTCACAGCCGATTTTGGAACGTTTGAATGTCCCCGAAGGGCTCCGCGGCGCCGCCGCCATCACGGGCGCCTCACGGGCCCCTCACGCCGCGGCTCCGGCGCCCCCTGGCGGCCGCTCCCGCCGCGCTCCGTTATTCCCGCGGATTAATAAAATCAAAACGTTAATTTTACGTTCAAACAAATGCCTTAAAACGAATTTAAAACTGAAACGACTTAAAATGAACAAGGGATTAAAATGAACGCGGTTGGAGCGTTTGTTGCTCCAGGCTAAACTATGATGTCGAGGAAAAGAAATTGACTGCCTCACGTCACTTTCTCATTAGAAAAACCCGAAACGAACAAACCAGGAAGATACAAATATCTAACCAGCCAAAATATTGATTTCCCAGCCGTTGTGAAGCATGGAAGAATCAGCAGGCTGATAAAGGCCATGTGTGACCATCCTGAAGCTCATCACTGCAGGTGCCACATTCCCAGAGGCCTCAGCCAAACCTCCAAGGAAACCCAAGGAAACCCAAGGAAATCCAAGGAAAAACAATGAAACCCAAGGCAATCCACAGAATTCCAAGGAAACCCAAGGAAATCCAAGGAATTCCAAGGCAATCCAAGGAAACCCAAGGAAATCCAAGGAAACATAAGGAAATCCAAGGAAACCCAAGGAAATCTAAGGAAACCCAAGGAATTCCAAGGAAACTCAAGGAAACCCAAGGAAACCCCGAGCTGAAGGAACCACGGCTCATCCTGCCCTGCACTGAGTCCCCACCAGCCCAGTTCCCCAAGCAGAGAATCCCTCAGGCCACCTCCAGTGCCACAGTGCACATTGATCTTCCCAAACCAGCTGTCAGGATGGGTCCCATTTACTTCCTTTTTATTTACTTCCCATTAGGCTGATGAACATTTCCTAATGAAAACACATCTATAAAAGCTGACTTGATAATGCTGATGGCAAGTGACAGCCCTTCCCCTCAATGCCAGCAGGATTAATTTGTCATCTCCCATTCCTTAACAGAGAAATGGTGCTTTGAAGTTCTCCTTTTAAGACACCTTTGTTCAACACCACACTAAATACTATTTGGATCTGGAAATAAAATATCCTGGTAGATTTTTTTACACAGAGTGGACACGTTCCTTAATAAAAGACTAGTTAATTTGCAAATAATCACCCAAAAATACTGGCAGCACCAGATCAAAGTGCAAATTGTGAGGCAGCAGTGGCCTCTGCCACCAAATACCTGACACTCCTGCCTCAATATTTGCAGGTTTATTGTTATTTTGGGCAGTATTAGATCAAAATCTGGGTGTTACAGCCATCTAGATGAGGTAAAACCCCCTTGGTTGAACTGCTGAGCTACAGAGACTCAACTCTGAACCCAAATTAGACTGAAACCCTTTTGTTTCACACCCTGTGATAGTAAAATTTTATCCTCTAAATATTTGAGCACTTGCTCCTTTGCGGTGTCAGAGACTCGCATGGCCCACAGCTAAATGGGTCAGGGAAAATCCAAACATAAAGCAGGGCAAGATGTGTGGTTCTGAATACACCATGAACAGAAATAAAAGCAATTCTCATGCATTAATGGTACATCAAGCTAATTCAAGAAGGCTAAAGCCATTAAAAAGGCATCCTGGGGCAGTACACAGTCATTACAATACTGTGCTGACAAGAAGTATTAAAATAATCATTTTCAATGTCATTGATAGAATCCGTTCTGATAAGCAGGGGGGGAAAAATCTCTAATTCTTAATTGGGAATATGAAGCAAAATGGATCTTATTAGCATTTATCTAATTCTTAAAATGCAATTTTGTTCAACTATTTAGTACACCAAAAATAAGAAAGTATTTATTATCCTCCAACGTTGGATATATTACTAAACTAAATCCTTGAAACACAGAACTCCTCTTTTTTACTTCAGCCTGAAATTCAGGTTTTACTTCCCAACAGTATGAGAGATTAAACCTCAGTGGGACATGGCTGAAGGTTAAAAAACAGCCTCTAAAACAGCAGAATGTAAAGGAGGATTTTGGCTTTCACTTTACTCAGCTTTCCTCTCACAAAATATGAACGAATGGACTTGATGATCTTAAGGGCCTTTTCCAGCCCAAGTGATTCTATGATTCCATCTCTGTTACAATCAATAGTGAGCTTATCAGCTGTAATGAAGCGTTGGAAACGAGGTATTTGGATTTAACTCGAGAATAAAGAAGCATTTTCATAATAACAATAATCATTCAAGTTAAATTATTTTCCCACTCAGCTGTGGAGAAAATGGGAAATGAGTTATCACAGAAGAATTGTAACAGATGACCACTAAGTTCAGTAGCTGCTTGCAGGGGACAAATTAGAAATTTAATTTCTAAAGTGTGTGCAATGAAGGAGTAAAAGGCTCTTCAATGCCATTTCCAATTTCTTCCTCCAAAAGGTATGTCTACATCACAGCAAGGCACAACACAGAAACAAGAAAAGAGATTTTAAAATAAGCTTGCAAACAAAGCAGCCCAAACCAGGAACTGGTGTCAAAACCCACCAGGTGTGTGTGGAAGAAAAGTCTGTGGGCTGGAACATCCTCAGGTGAATTTTATTTTTTTTTTTATCAGAGAATCCCAGAATGGTTTAGATTGGAAGGGCCCTTAAAGCTCATCTTGTTCCAACCCCTGCCAGGGCAGGGACACCTTCCATTACCCCGCTAATGTGAACCACAAAAAAACCATTAAAGCTATGCTGAACCTGAACACCCCAGAGCAGCACAAACCAAGGGACATTTAATCAAGTGCTCCCTATTAACAGCTTGCACTGCTCATTCACACCCCCCCATTTAATGGGGTTAAGAAGTTGCTTTGTTTCCTGCTAAAACAAACAGCAAAAATTATCAGGAATTGGATTCGGTCCCAGACGTGTCTGGCAAGTGTAACCCATTCATACAAAGCATTTCTAATCCTATTAGCTGGCAAATATTAAAGACTTGGTTGGCTGCCACCAGGGCAAAACAACACCCTGATATTTCTTAAAACACATGAGCCCTGTCAATTCTTTCTTACCACCAAAGAGAGACAAATGAACCCCCTGAAAGCTTACAAGTTTATCACACCAGCTTTGTGCCAAGAGACTTCTCTGCAAATCTCTGAGAAAAGGGGAAAAAAAAACCAAGGAGGAGGCTGCAGACAGAGCCACAAACACCAGGACTTGGAATATATAATTAACAGTCTAACTATAGCCAGCACTCCAAAATAAATGTGCTAAACAAAACCCCCTAATGGCTCTTTGAAACTCCTAATCAATATAGAAAATCTAGGCAGTCAAAACAGTAATTTTTGCAACTGGTTCAACAGAAAACAGGGAGCAAAGCAAGAAGATGCAGCTTGAAATGCTCTTCTCCAAAATCTGATCAACAGCATGGGTAAAAAAGGGGTGCAGGTCAGTATTTTCCACATAAAATGTACAAAAGTTTTGACTCTTTTTATCCCATGCAAAAATTACCACCTTTTTTTTTCCCCTCGAATGTAAACATTAGAGTGTATCTCCTTTTTATTCCACGTAAAAATTTGGTATTTATGCCTTTTTTTTAAATTTGAAGTGTCTTTTCACACCCCATTGCAAGGTGCTGCTGTGACACTGCCTTATGTAAGCACAGGCAGACAGGACTTTGCAACGAGAAGCTGGCAACAAGAGGCCCCAGAACTAGGGGCTCTGAGAAGCATTAAAATTTAATTAATTAAGGAGGTTTTTAGACAGAGAAAGCCGCTGTGAGGAGGGGCTGACACGTTCAGCCACCAGAGGAGCATGGTGAGAAGGGAAGCCAGCCAAGCCGCAGGACACTTGATTGCAATTCCACTAGAGGGGGCACAGATCCCATCTCATACAACTCCAGGACCACGGAATTATAGAACATCCTGATCTCAGAGGGATCCACAAGGACCAAAACCCCTACACAGGACTCTCAGAGAGTCCCAGAATGGTTTGGGTTGAAAAGGAGCTTAAAGCTCACCCTGTGCTGGGGTATGACACCTTCCACCATCCCAGGCTGCTCCAAGCTCCATCCAGCCTGGCCTTGGGCACTGCCAGGGATCCAGGGGCAGCCACAGCCGCTCTGGGCACCTGTGCCAGGGCCTGCCCACCCTCACAGGAACAATTCCTTCCCAACATCCAACCCAGCTCTCCATTTTTAACACCCCATGAACATTACAGTGCTCAAATGTTGCATTTCCAGCTACTCTGCACAAACAGCCCCTCAGCCTCTCCACGAGCACTAAAACCAAAGCAGAGAAAACTTTGCTACCATAAAGCAAGCACCAAAGAAAACTGAAAATTAAATAAGAAATAAAAATAGCTTAAGATGCTTAAGAGTAAAGGTGCTGGTGGAGAACACATCAGCGCACATACGATGTGTTAAGGAGTCATCTTAGAAAGTTAGGGAGCCATCTTAGAAAACACAACAAAAATGCCCAAAAATCAGGGTTTTCTTTAACTGAGCAGGCAAGTCTCGGCGCTATCCCAAAGGGTCAGTACTCGGAGAGGACAGCCCGGGGGTGGGGTGGCGTGCTGGGTGCCCGAGGGCGGCGGTACCGTCATGGAAGACTCTCTCCACGTTGAGCCCGTAGGTGGCGCAGGTCTCGTAGTAAGTGCATCTCTTGAGGTCGTTGGACAGCTTCCTGGCCCGGGCATCGTCGATGACACGGGGGTTGGTGGAGCTGATGGCATCTGCAGAGCCACAGGGGGAAAACACCCATCAATGGTCACTCGGAAACACCAGCCTGGGGCTCACACAGTCACGGGAGGGGCGGGGAAGGTGGGAGAGACCTCTGAGATCACCGAGTGTAACAACAACCCTCGGTCACCACTGACCCGTGCCCTCAAGGGCCACATCCACGTGGTTTTGGAGCACTTCCAGGGACGGTTCCAATGCTTGACAACCCCTTCCATGAGGAAATTTTCCCTAATATCCAACCTGAACCTGCCCTGGTGCAAATTCAGGCCAGCTCCTCTCATATTGACTGATACCAAGCAGTGAGTTTAAATACAAACCATGAAACAGGGTGTACATCACTCTGATTTACATTTCCTTATTAAAATTACCAGTACACTGATTCTAAAAACCAGGGGGAAATCCTCCAAGGCTTTTTGCTTTCCTTAAATACATATATTGAGCTCAGACATTGCCAAAAAAAAAATACACAATCACATGAAAGAGCATGAGCTCTGCTGTAAAATATATTTAGGGAAACAAGTGGGTGATTAGTACAAACATGTCAAATGGTTTTTACATCTCTGAAAGTATTAGTGACTACAGAGTGTGAAATATTGAACATGATGTATTTTAAAGAAATAGAACTTAATTGTAAATTACTTTCTCAAACTGCTGTAAAGGCACCCAGAGATGTTGTGGGAACATACTGCAAAGCTGATAAAAATTGTATTTTTCTAAACTATCATACTTGGAATTCTCTCCAAGATCTTCTTCTCATGAAAGCAGAAATTTCAGTTTCTAGAGCTTATCCAGAGGAGCTGGAAAAACCTTACAGCAGAATAGACGAAGGAGAAGCTTCTTCCTTGCTACTCCATCATAGTGATGAACTCTGTATACAAAGGTCATACTATCTGAAGTGATAATCTTATTAACAGACCTTGAAAAGGAATTTTTTTTTCCCCAGGAGTATTGTGTTACTCTTCTGCCCCATGCCTGGAAGTGTTCCAAGCCAGCTGGATGGGGCTGGGAATAACCTGGCATAGTGAGTGGGAGGTGTCCCTGCCCACAGCAGGGGATGGCACTGGATGGTCCCTTTCAGCCCAAACCATTCTGGGATTCTACAACAGGCAATAATTTCAGCATTCACAGCTGCCCAGAAAGCCTTCCTTAAAATCTGTAACCATCCACAGCAGCAACACAGATTTGTTCTTTGGGAAAAAAGCATTAAAAAACCCCTAAACACGGACTCGGTGCCTCTTGCAACGCTGTGTGTGAGGCTCTGCCCCGGGCACAACGGGACCAGACCTCAACTGCTGCTGTCATTACCTCCTCATCAGAGCCAATTAACAAAAACAAAGCAGCAATTAGGGAAAGCAGGAGCCCGTTATTTCTCAGCAGAGGGCGCTGGCAGCATGTGCCCAGAAGGGAACAGCGAGGGTTCAGCTCCAGAACACCACAGCTCCCCTGAGTTTGGCTCCTTGTCCTGAGGGGGGTCAGCCTGGGGCTGAGCTGCCTTTGGAAGCCAGGGGAGAACGTCTGCAAGTGTTCATGTTGTGGGAAAGGTTTCATTGCACATCTCATTTCAGGAACACCTGATACAACCAACGAGTCCAGGTTGGAGCAACCAGGGCTAGTAGAAGATGCCCATGGCATGGGGTTGGAATTAAATGAGCTTTAAGGTGCTCTCCCTCCCAAACCATTCTGGGATTCTAGGATATGAAAGGTTTATTTCAAATATGTATTTTAACAAGTGTATTTATGTATTTCAATCTTTTATTTCACTGTAAAACACAGACCAAAAGCTGTGGTTTTTCCTGATGCTTATTCCTAGAGTTAGCATTATTTTCACCTTTTTTAAAAATCCCCTTTGCATCAATGCTGCAACAGAAAATGAACTTTTCTTTTTCTGGAAGTAACAGGAAGGAGATGGCAAACCATACCCCAAACCATACCCCAGAAGGGGGTCAGAAGAGCACAAAGAAATAAAAAAGTTGGAGAAATGTTTCCCCTTCACCTTTTCAACTCCAGCTTCAAGCCCAAACCGTGGCCCTTCAAAGCAGCTCCTTTCTGCTTTTTGGTGGAGTTTCTGCTGTCCTAAGACTTTTTCTGTTCCTACTTCCCCTTTCCCTTCTCATCATCTGTTTCCTCCCTCCAGCTGGGCTGTGATTCCTCCTTCCCTGCTGCCCACACACCCCCTCTGTGCTGTCACCCCTGGCAGGAGGCAGGGGAAGGCCAAATGCTCCCTGACCACATGGCTGAAAAACACCAAAAAGCTTCAACACCCCCAAAAACCACTGGGACACAGTGACAGGGAGAGTGCCCAAAATTGAACCAAGAACAATTCACAACACCTCTAACACACAACAGCCACCTGGTGGGGCTCAGCCTGGAGAAAAGGAGGCTCAGGAGGGACCTGGCTCTGCACAGCTCCTGCCAGGAGGGTGCAGCCAGGTGGGCTCTGTACCCAAGGGACAAGGGACAGGACAAGGAGAAATGGCCTCAAATTGTGCCCAAAGGGTTGGTCAGCCCTGGGCAGTGCTGGAGTCACCATCCCTGGAAGGACATAAAAGTTGTGTGGAGGGACATGGTTTAATGCTGGCCTCGGCAGTGCTGAGGGAACAGCCGCATTTGGTGATTTAAAAGTTTTTTCCCCAACTTTAATTATTCCATGGTCAGGAACAGAACAGCCTCAGCTCCACCAATGCAGCAAACCAATCACAGGATGGGAAACTGGTGAAATGTTACTGGGCTATGCTGGCACAAGGAGGCAGAGAATATTCAAAAACCACTCAAATGCCAAAGAAACTGAAATATTTTGGGTACCTTTCCCTTGCCATATTTCCCTTCAGGACAGCTGCTATTTCAGAAGGAAAAACTGGGGGGATAGGTTGGCTCAGGTGACAAAAAGCTGCATTTTTACTTGATTTACAGAGGTCTCCCAGGGTCACAGCCTGAGGCTAGGCTTCACCTCTGCCTCCTACCCTGCTGCTGGAAGTTCCCCACCTCTCACTCACCCTTTTGCCTCTCAGCAATGCCAGGGTGTTGAACCCTCCCAGACTGCCAAGCTGATGGAAACTGGTCTGGCTGCAGAACCTCCCCACACAACTGATTTACCTGCCCAAATTCAATGAGGGCATCTCCCTGCTGGGCAAGAAAACCACCAGCACACGTTGAAAATATTATTTAAAATTGCCTTGCAAGCCATAGAATCCTGGAATGGTCTGAGTTGGAAAGGACTTTATAGCTCATTGTGTTCCACTCCCTGCCATGGGCAGAGATACCTTCCACTGTCCCAGGTTGCTCCAAGCCTCACCCAGCCTGGCCTCGGGCACTTCAGGGATGCAGAGGAAGCCACAGCTACTCTGGGCAACCTCTGCAGGGCCTCCCCACCCTCAGAGTGAAGAATTTCTTGTGCATATCTGACCTAAACTTCCCCTCTTTCTTCTCTGCTGAGGTCCCACACTCTCCCTCTCCAAGCGAGCTGCCAGGACATTTTCCTCTCACCTCAAACACTGTCCTTGCAATGCCACAGCCCTGTAGCAAGGGGGAAAGGACAGGACATGGCTTTGCCATCCTAAAAGAGTCAATATGGTCTGAAAGGGCCAGCTGAGAGCGTTCCAGCTGGGAGTGAGGGCTGCACTTACCCTGGGTGCCCACCAGGACCATGGGGATCTCGCTGGTGTTGCGGTAGTTGGCCATGCGGCTGTAGTAGTGGTAAACGGTCTGGAAGCTGACCTCATCCTCCAAGCTGAACACAAAGATCACAGCATCCACCCACATGGCAAACTGCAGGGAAAAATGGGAAAGGCCAACTGTGAGAAGAGCAGTGAGGAGGGGGAAGGAAGGAAAACCAAGAGAGAAACGTTCTTACCATCCTGCAAGGGAAATACACACCAGAAAAACTCACACACAAAAAAGGCCTCAACAGGGTCAGGATCAGCTGCTAAAATGATGAATGTCATCACCCTGCACACCATGAGGATCTGGGACACACAAGGCATTTCCCCACATGAGCAGCCCTGCTTCAGTGGGGTGTGTAACCAGCTACTGTCAGTGCACACTGGGTTTGATGCCCAGCAAACACAGCAGGCTGAGGCTGCTGGCTCTGTGCATTTGAAAGGAGCAGCACTCATCTGCAGAGCTGGCTGAGCCCCCACGCTGCCATCTGCATGCATGCCAGGACAGGCATGGCTAGGAACTCTCACATCCCAACCCCATTAATGTGAGCCTTGCAATTCTCCACCATACAGACACTGTCAGCTGAGGCAGCAGCACCAAGGGCCTCCTTGTGCTTTCAGTGAAGAGCAAACTGCTCTCCTGGCATCAGGAACCTGCTGACAGACATGCAGCTGCTCCTCAGTGACCATGCAAGTGAGAAGCTCTTAGCTCACAAGTGAATGAAGACATTTAACTCAACAGTGAACATGAACAGGACATCAGGAAAAACCTCCAGCTTACCTCACTGCCTTTATTTTCCCCTAAGCGACTCCATTCCTACCCAAATTCAGAGCAATGGAAACAAGCTTCAGCCAGGGGATTTTCATGCTTTGTTATTATTACTACAACGTGCCAGGGGACACACTGAACACAGAGGTTCACTGGGGAAAGGCTCTGCATATTCATGATGATTGTATTGAAAGCAAACACTGCCTGCGCTGTTATGGTGTAAAAACAGACCAAAAAATTGTTTTGAGGTTTTCAAGACAGTCAGGAGGACAGTCTTGCAGAGGGGAAGGACAGGGCTAGTTAACACACAGCAGAGTCACTGCCAGAATAAGGTCAACCACCACACTGTTAAATTGTTCAAACCAGAAGATGAAACCACAGGAACTGGAGACAGCATCATTATTTGGGAGATGTGGGCTTGGGTCTCATTATAAAATGGTTTTTGTTGACTGGACTCAGCAGCATCATGCCAAGGACTCTTCCCAACAACTGGGAATGTCCCTAAGGCATCCATTTGGAAGCCAACAGTCTTTCTAAACCCTCTGAATGTTTGAGCAGTGTGTACAGCAGCCTTCTAATAAAGATTATTTCAAAACACTCCACAGATTTACACTGTGCAGTTCCTGCAGACACAAAACATTTCTAGCAATTCCTTATTTCACTTTTCATATTGAAATGCAGCTTAATCATTGTGGATATCAGACCTGTGCTACAAAGAAACCAAAGGAATTTTGGGGAACACAAGGTCTGGAAACCCTGGATGTCTCAGCCAGAGTACTGTGCAGGAAATGGCTTGAAACAAGGATAAATCAGCTGCTGGTACAGAAATCCACTCTCAGACTCATTACTGTGAATGAGGAGAGCTGTTAGTTCAAGGCAAGCCCAAAACCATATCATAAAAAATGTTTTAAATTTAAAAAGTTGCATGCAGCAGCTCATTGTAGGTCAGTTACTAGGTTAATTTGGTTTTACAATAGAAAATTGAATTATTTTCATCTTTGAACCATTTCATCTTAGGCAAAGAAAGGAGAGATCATAGACCCACAAATAGAGACTTTAGGGAAGTTTGTTTTTTCTCCCTCCCTGCCAAAAAGAAGGGGACAGTAACCTGGGGAGTACCCATGACCCAGTGCCAGAGCTCCACATGTCAGCTCCTTACTTACTGCAGGTGGAATTCAGTCCCAATTATTCATGAACACAAAAGCAAACTTTTCATTGCAGGAATTAATGAACAGATTAAAGATTTTTAATAGACATGTAACTTGAAATGACACCCAAAAACTCCAAAGGGAATTTACAGGAAAGCCTCGTGCTGAAAGGTGAGACAGCACTGACACCTCAGACCTCTTCAGCAAATCACGAGGATGGAGAACAAATCTCAGCCACCACAGAATCCCAGAGTGGTCTGGGTTGGAGGGACCTTAAAGCTCATCTCATACCAGTGGCTGTTGTCCACACCTTCCACTGGACAACAGCAGCCAAAGCCCCAAATTCACCTGGCACATCCCAGGAGCACACCCTGTGCTGTTCGTCAGCCTGCAGCCAGCTCCTGTGAGCTCTGCAAAGCCAGGCACAAACCACCTCAGATTGCTGCATGCACCTTTGCACCTCCACTAGTCACATTTTAGCTGAGTGAATGTTCTCTAAGCATCACAGGCTGGAAAGCAGGGGCTGCTGCCAGCCCCAGACAGCGCTGTCCTTGTTGCTCCTGCTGCCAGATGTGCCAGTGCTTTATTCTGCCCTGTGACTTCCTTCCATCCAGGATGTCTCTCTGAGCCTCCATTTCCTCCTCGTCCTTTCTCTTCCCCTTTGTCCTGGCACCTTCCCCCACGCTCTCACCCTCCTGGAGCTGTGCTGCTGCATTCAGACCCGAGCTGCTGCTGCTGGCACTGCTCGCCCTCAGCTGTTTGGCAGCTCCTGGTGCTCCATTATCGCTTGTTTGGAAGCTGATCCCTCCCGGAAGAGCCGGGCAAAGCCAGGCAGCAGCAGCCAGCACGCAGGAAATCCTGCCAGTGCCCAGATGAGGAGAGGCAGAGGAGGAGGAGGATGCCCAAGACAAGGCTGCTGCCTGCAGACAGCACAGCTGCTTTAATCTGAGGTGATTTAAGCAGCACATGAGCAAACTCTTGCTCAAAACAGAGAAATGGTCAAGCACTCAAACCCCCAAGTGTCTTCTCCACAGCCAGTGCCCTGGACAGGCTGGGAGAGCTGTGGGTGTTCAATCTGGAGAAGAGAAGGATCCAGGGAGACCTCAGAGCTTCTTCCAGAGGGCTGCAGAGGGACTTGGGACAAGGGCTTGGAGCAGGGCAGGACACAGGGAATGGCTTCCTACTGCCACAGGGCAGGGTTAAATGGGATGGGGGGAAGGAATTCCTCACTGTGAGGGTGGGCAGGCCCTGGCACAGGGTGCCCAGATCCCTGGCAGTGCCCAAGGCCAGGCTGGATGGGGCTTGGAGCAGCCTGGGACAGTGGAAGGTGTCCCTGCCATGGCAGAGGGTGGGAGTGAGATGAGCTTTAAGGGCCCTGCCAATCCAAACCATCCTGTGCTTCTGTGAAATCCTGATGTGTCACCAGGGGAAGCACAATGCTTGGGAATTCAGTGTAAATGAGCTGTACATCCTGACTTGCACAGTCTCAGTCAGAATCCCAAATACTCACTACACACACTCATCCATCCATCGTAGCTGAAATCCCAACCATTTGCTGGACAAAATCTTTTCCACCTGAGGGTGATGCTGGAATTCTCCAGGCAGGAAGATGAGAAGGAGCCAGGGCAGAACAAAGCAGAACCAGTTCTTTGAAAGGAAGTTCTGAAAAACAAGGGAAGGGAGGCTTGGGGCTCACCTGTGCCTCTGGAGGGCCTCCTTCATCTCTGATCAGCAGCAGGTAGCTCTGGCCATCAACCACTATCTCCTTCTTGAATCTCCCACCTGCCACACAAAGCAGCTGGTTACACACAGCAGAGGGACAGAACACACAACAGGAAAAGGCTTCGCTTGTGGAAACAAAAGCTCTTTGCAAATTCACCAGCAACTGGAGTGTTACTGAGGTTTATATGCACATACATGGGAATTGCTTCAAGTTAAGGCATGTACTTGCCTTATTTATATATATATATATTTTTTTTTTTTAATATATATATAGTGGGAAAAAGCCAAGAATTTCATTACATCCCACGTTAGGTGTCCTTGGGTTGATACATACAATTAAAACCCTGTATGTGTCACCTTTGTTTTTAATAATTGTCAGAAGTGTCTGCAAGGAAGGCAGTGCACACAAACATGGTGTCTCCTCCCCAAAAGCAGTTTCCTGTGGCACCCAGCATTTCCCCAAGGGAAGCCCAGTTCTCAGAGCACACAAGAGTGGGATGTTATGGGATGAGAGCTCCACACTCACACACCACAGTTAGGGGAAGGTACCACACACATGTTAGACAAAAAGCTACGATGGTGCTGCCTCTGGAGAGATGTGCTAAGCCAGCAGAGCAGCCTGTGCTGCTGGCTTGGGAGGAATCCCACACCTGCTCTGGACACCTGGATAAAGAGGGGGCAGCCACAGCCTCCAACCACATCCTGTTCCTGCCCCTGGATTTCCAGGGAGTGCAGATCAAGGGTGCCTGGCACCACCAAGGAGGCTCCCAGCCCAGCACTGCTCTGTCACCTCCTGTCCCCTGGCTCACAGGGACTCAGCCACCACCCAGGGCAGGGCTGGGATTGCTGCTTTTGGGGCTAAAAGCGTATTTTGGGCACTCTGCTGCCTCTCTCAGAAATGCCAAATCCCATTTAGGGCTTCTGGTGTGGCAGAGCCTAAGCCAGGATTAGCAAGCTTGGCCTAAGCACTGGGGAGGCATTTAGGCTCCTCTCCTGGAGCAAACCCACTCTTATCTCCCCCCCTAAGCCTCAAAGCCCCAAGGCCTCCAGCTCAGCATCACCTGCCCTCGCAGCTGAGCTCACCATGCTGAGATAAAACACATCCACTAACACACCCCAAACTTCCCTCTTTGTCCTATTTGTAAAAACTGGAATTAGTTCTGATTTGAGCCCTATTTCTCAGCTCCAAAATGTGTCATTCCACAAAAACCAATGGTAGAGAGCCAACAGCTCTGCCTTGCTCTCCAAACAAGCTCCCCAAGCAAGTAAGTCAGCACTCTCAGACTAATGCTGATCCTGAAAACACAACAATCTGCACAAAAATTGCTGCCTTAGGGGAACCCAATGCTGGCTTAGACCCACCATTCCCCCCAGCCCAACCACAACAGCAGCCTTCAAACCAAGATTACTCCACAGCAACGTTCAAGCATGTTTAAACACATTTTGTGTTCAATAAAAGATGTAAGAATTAGAGGTTTTTGTGGGTTTATGCTGGGGTATTTTTTTAAATCTTTTCTTTATAGACTTATCCTATTAGCAGTATTAAGCATGCAGCAATGAAGGCTATCACATTTCTGGTTGTTTAATGGCACAGAAGGAGCAGAAGAGCCACGAATGGATTTTCATTATCTCGCTCACAAAGTGGATTTCAATCCTGCCCTCGCAGATCAAGTGGCAGATAGATATCTATGATTACTGAACCTGAAGAGAACAATCCCAAACAAGTGTAGAACTTGTAAAGGAAACAGCCTTAGCTCTCAGGAACTGGATTTCTATTAATCAGGCCATTATTTCTATACGCTGTCGATTAAATGTGCTTCCCAATGAAGTGTTAACTAAGATGAATTACTTAATATAGAGCCCTCCAGAGAGGGGCTTTAAAGCTGTAACTAACAATGGAAACACACTGTATGCCTGATCAGAGAGGGAAAGTTCTGCCTAATTGCCATTTCCTATTTCCTTTTTTTTTAAACACTGCAAGTTCCCCCAGCTAATTACAAAATACCACACACCGAATGCGTTTGGGAGCCAACTCATTATTCCCATGGTCAACAGGATGCCTTGCCAGCCTCACTGTACCTTCAAACACTCCTCAGAGGCACAAAGAAGGTACAGACAGGGCGGATTTAAAAGCTTAAGCAGAGAATTGAAAAATAAAAAAAAATATTTCAGTGTACAGCTCACAAATGTGAGCCCTACAAGATTTACTCTTCATGATTTGACTGTTGAGAGCAGCTTGGAAAAGGGTATTGAATTTAATAAATGCAGTGCAAGTTAGCCACAGCTCTTCTCCTGTGTGAATCCACACTAAATTATCACCTTGGGGACCTGCTCCTTGCCTTCCCCAAAACCACTGGGCGTGGAGCTCAGTGCAATTATTGTTATTTCCAGGATTAAATTCAGATCCTGATGTGCTGTCCCACTTCACCAAGGGCTGTCACCCTGCTGCAGCCAACAGCCACAGTCAGCTCAAATCTGCTCAAGTGCCTTCTTCACCCTTGAAAGCAGGATGTGCTCATTAGCTGGAACAGGCACATCCTCACAATCCTTGATTTCTGTTTGGATATAAGTATTTCATGGCAAACAGTTTGAATTTAACACCCCTCCAACCAAACTGTTTCAAAGAATGCCCTGCATTTCCAAGCTGCACTAAATATTTCAAAACAAATCTGAAGGCTCAGAAATGGAACAGCAAACTCACGCCCATCCCTCGAGTAAGAATTATTTTATGCAAATCTCAGCTCACAGCAGGACTCATCCCTAATAACTTGTGCTTCTACACCATTAAGGAGCCCTTATCATGAGCACAGCACAAAATTAGGGGCTGCCCAAGACAGAGATTAAGAAAACCGACCTCAATATCAAGAATTTACACAAACAAAAGCATAAACAGTGAAGAATGGAAAGGGCAAGGCTGTACCCTGCAGGTATCTGTGGTTGTAGGATTAAGGCAAACAATGAACTGCTTCTCCTTTGATTTGATGAGCCTTGAGGAAACCCAGGAGCACTTTGGGCAAGGGCAGTAATTTTGGGGTGCTTCAGCTTGGACAGCACCACATTCTTTTTTTGTTCTGTTTTTAATATATCCAGGGGTTTGTAAAGCACCACAGGCAAAGAGGAATTACAGAGATCAGCCAGTTCAAATACTGGACTACAGCAACCCATGAGGAAGCCAAACACTCTCCCAGGGCTACAAAATACCCCCTATTTTCCTAAATATCTGCCTGTGTGACAGAGCCAGGAATTGCTGTCTAAACCAACAGCACTGAGAACAAAGGAATGACCTTCATAACACAGAGAACGAGCTCAAAACCCACAGCACCACTCCCAGGGGAGGTGGCTGCCTTTGCTCTGGTCCCATCAGGATTATGACACACGCAGCTTTTTAATGAGGGAGCTGCTCAGCTCCCAGATGTACCTGCCAGGGGAGGGGATGACTGGTGGCCAGAGGATGGGGCACCATGGGCACTTCAAGGCACTTATTCCCAGCTTTCCAGGGCTAGAACAGTAGCCATTCCCACAGGGTCGCTGTCAGATGAGCACAGGATTTTTGCAGGTGACAAATCTCCTCCCTGTGCCCGAACTCGTGAAGCAGCCCCCAAACCACCCCGGCTATCCCAGGTGCACCTGGCCACACTCCTGCTGTAAAATGCCCCACGTGAATACACAGCTTTGAGCAACACAAAGCTAAACAAATGCTGTGCATCAGCAATTTACAGCCCTGGCTGAAGCCCCAGCACAAACTGGAATAGAGGGGGGATCAAGCACAGCTTCCTGATCTCATTGTCATGCACGACCCTCCGCAAGGCGAGCGCGCGGCATCGGCGGCGGCGCAGAAATGAACCAGCGAAAATCAGAATTCAATTTAAACACTGCACACACTGGCAATCAGAGGTGCTCTCTGTAACAAAAGCTGGCTATGACAGGGGGAATTCTGGGCATGGAGGCTTTAATCCAGGCTCTGACAGCCTGGCCACCCCCTCCTCTCGCCGAGAGCCGTTCCAGCGCGTAATTGCTCAGCGGAGCAGCCGCTGATTTTGCTGCTGCATCCCCAGGCTCCACTGTGCTCACCAGGCTCTTTATTCAAGCAAATTGCCACGGGGATGAAGTTATTTAGCCATGTGAGAAGGATAAATTCGGGGGGCTGGCCACACGACAGGCACGGGCAGCAGCTGAACGTCTGCTGTGGCAGGGCAAGACACAAGGGAGGGCTGAGGCAGCTCTGAAGGACTCAGGCAGCTCCTGGATTTCAATTCCCAGTGACATGTGCATTTTGACAACAGCAGCCAGTTGTCTCACACATGCATGTTCTCTCCCTTTCTTTCCCCCCCATCAGTGCCAAGAACCTGGCTCCTCTTCAGGGAAACACGTTCAGAAATCCTCTGTTCAAACAGATGGCCACATAGTGGTCTTCTGGTTTGCTATTCACATTATTTTTTATTGAAATAAACTAATTTTAAAATGTTTTTTGCAGCATTGCCTTAAAAGGAAAAAAAAAATTAAAAAAAGGAAAAGGTTCTTCCCCCAGAGGGTGCTGGCACTGCCCAGGCTCCCCAGGGAATGGGCACAGCCCCAATCCTGCCAAAGCTCCAGGAGGGTTTGGACAGCGCTCTCAGGGATGCACAGGGTGGGATTCTTGGGGTGTCTGTGTTGGATCAATGATCCTTCCAGCTCAGGATATTCCATGATTCTATGATTTTGGGCATTTCCTGAATACAACCACTGTGCTAAACAACAATTTAGAAACTGTGAGCAGCTGAGCTAGGTCAAGGATCAAAGACCAAGGAACCATCGCTGCCACACGAGACTGAAGCTGCAAAAAGAGCCCCGGACCCCCTTTCCAAAGACTACCTGGGTAAAACAAACCCCAAAAGCCAACAAAAGCAGCCTAGACTGACCTCTTCAACCCCCACCATCTGCTTTTCTCAACAGGTTTAGGATATAGTCCAGGAAATCCATGGAGAGGTCCTGGAACTATCAAACCATACCCAACTGCAGCAAGGTACCCCCACAGGGACCATCTATAAATGCAATATTACATCTTATAATCTGATCTTTAC